TAAATGCCCCATGTGATGAGCTTTCATGAATTTTATGTGGTCTCCTGCTAAAAAGCCTTTCCCAATATTCAGCAGGCCATTGCAATCTTTCTTGCATGTCTCGTTTATCTGTGGCTGTACTTACGTAACTCCAAAACGAAGACATACATTGTCAAAGTGCCTGTACGTGGCTTTTGCATGTGTGCTGTCCTCCCTGATTCTGCTTGATAGCTATCCATGGATGACTCTCCCAGAAATTAGCTTCTGGGGCCTGGCTCTCCCCTGTTTCCTCAGGGGGGTTTCTACTGTGCCTGTCTGAGACCATGCCTCCCAGAACCAGCAGTGAGAATGATCTTTCTGACCTGCTGCTGCTGGAAGGAACATCCCCCCCCCCCTTTTGGCTTTTCTAGGCTTATCCTAATAGCCTGGCTTTGTTCTCTTTATGTGAGTGTTGCCCAGTGCATATTGTGCTGAACTGGGTGTCGCTGGAGGAGCAAAGATACTGGCCCTGGTTGTCTCGGACTTCAGAAAGCCATAAGCCAACATCTCTTTCCTGCTGTGGATGATATTTCTATGCTTGCTGACACTTTCCTGTCCTTTAATAAGAAATTCTCCTCTTCTGTGAGACATTACTGATGCTTCTCAGTATCAGTTAAAATCGTATTTCTGTGAATGTGAATTTCTGGAATATACCACACCTCAATTCAATGGGTGACAGGAAGAGCGAGGCAGGGCGTAACTGTGCATGTGAAACTCTGACTGAACATCCACTCTTCTTGTGTCCATCTCCCTGTGTGGGCAGAGAGCAGCTCAAAGCAGGAGTGTAAAACGCATTCTTGCCCAAGAGCGTTTTGCTACGGTCTTTGTGGAGGCAAGGTTGGGGGCTTGAGGTAAGGTACCATTTTACCACTTAATTAAAGCCCTGCCACCCTGTGACACTGGCTGTAGCTTATGTAGAGCCTCCATGTAGTGCTTTCTCTTCTGAACTCCTACTGAGTGCTCCCAGTGAGCCAGTGCAGAGGCTTATCCTCACCAAGGAGCTTGTCGGTCCTTGTACCTGTCTTTAGTCTCCCACCAGGCTATTTCCTAATCTCTTTTCCATGCCAAGCAGGCTGTGGTAAGACTTCATGGTGTTGCAAGTGACCAACTACTCCTGTTTTCCAATGTGTCCCATAGTCTGGTCCTCTTATTAGCTGCACTGAGGGCTAGTGAAGGTTAAAATGCTCTCGGAGGGGTCTGAGCATGCATTAACCATGAAAGCTGAAACATTTGAAGCTGGTCAGAACCTAATAGGAGACAGGGAGGATGGTGACAAAAGCCACTCTATTAAACAAGTAGTTGGAAGTTCCTAGGAAAACTGCTGCCACCGTAATAAATCTAATCCTTTGGGGCTGGGAGGAAATGCCAGTGTAGCCAGGACCTCTGCTATGGTCTTAGTACAGCTGTGCTAATGGAGGCAGATGCGTTCTTGTTGGGACCTGGCACAGGAAAGCAAGCATTGCCCCTTCCACAGATGAGAAGAGGCTTTTCCAGCTGCCCTGGCACTAGAAGACTTGCCTTGTTGTCATGATTGACTGAGCTGTGGCTGTTTTTACTGGAGTGAAGCAGGGACTGAATGTGAATAAGCGTGGTCTGGGCTTGCTTGAAGGAAATGGGAGCTATCAGGAAGGATTATGTAGTGGTGCTGGTGTCTGCCTGGCCTCGGCAGGCATGAGAAGACCTTTGTCCTGCTGCAGCTCTCTGTTATCGTAAAGGTTTGAAATGCTGTCACAGTGGAAATTTGAATGAGAAATGTCCCCTCTATCTTGCACACAGTAACACCTTTTCCTGCAGGGATAAATCCTTCTTTGACAGCAAGATTTAAGTAGTCTCGATAAGTAAAGTACTCCTTCACAAAGTTGCTGGGCCTCCTTAGAGGCCTTGGTATTTGGTCTATAGACTCTGCATTTCCACAGACTTCCCCGAAGGATGATGAGGAAACAAGCAAGTTAAGAGGTATAAATCAAATGGGGAGAGCCACGCTTTGCACTCTGGCAGTGGAAACCAGCTGGCTTGTCTTTCCTGGGACCATCAGTCTGAAAGCAGGAGCTTCTCACGTTGAAGAGGGTCAGACTTGGGCTGCTCTCCCCAAACCTGGCTGTGGCTTTCATGCTGAGCTGGCCTGGGAGGGCATGGATGAGCTTGAGGAGACTCCAGTAAGCCAGGAGCTAAGCTGCTCTGAAGACCTGCGAACAGATAGGGCTCCAGGCACCTTCCCTCAGTTGCTTGTGTATGGCTGACTTTAGGCCAGGCTCCTTGAAAGGTGCAAATATCTTTCAGAGAGCAAGATCCGTGGTGAGCTGGGAATAGGAAAGAGGTGTGCTAGCATACTGTGCAATGACCATATATCCTGGCCTGTTCTTTCATTGCAGGCTCAGTTGAAGAAGGGAGTTTGGTTTGGTCCTACGTTGTTGTCTTGCTTTGGTGAGAGTAATCCTGTGTATGGTCTTTCCTGAAAGCTACTGTGCTGCACTGAGCAAACTTGCATGTGTCTGAGGGCAGATGGTGGAGCTGGGAAATGATCTGCTGTATCCTTGGTCTTGCATACCTCATGGAGATGCATCTGTGTGAGGATGCAGATGCTTGTATTTACCAGGAACCAGCTGCTTACTGCAAGGGACTTACCCTCAGTTCTCATAAACAGGCCCTTCTTGCTGTCCTGGAGATTGCAGTCATCTCCATGGTGAGAGGTGCACAAACAGAAGGGAGGATAATGACCCTGCAGATTAAAGGGCAAAAGGAGGCTTCCTAGTACATGAAGCTTGTGCTGATTGTCCTGGTTCTAGATTCAATGTCCCTGGAAAGGCAGGCTGCAAACGCAGAAAGGCACTCTCCAAAAATGGTTGGGCCAGGAGGTGCGTTACCCAGCCCCACAGTGTGGAGAAGAAAGCAGCACCTGTTTGAGGAGCTAAGGTGTGGATTTGTTCATGGATGTGCCCTTTGAGTATATTTGAGAGGCAGTAAGCCCATCTAATAAAAAAAACTACCGAAATCTGCCTTTAACTGGCTCTGCTTACCTGCCTTTGATGTGGTTCAAAGGGAGACAGGGCTGCACTATGTCCTCCTTGTTAGCTTGGCAAGATAAAGACCAGAAGCATCCTAACAAACGTGTGCACAGCCTTGCTGTCTCTGCCCTTGCCCCAGTCCTGGTGTGCTGGCCTTAAGCTCCCTTTCTTCAGTACCTAAGTACACGTGGGAAGCCTGAACCTTAACAGAGCTCCAAATCCAGATGTGCACAACTCCTGCTGTTCTAGTTCAGGCATGATCCCGTTTGTTTTGGAGCAGCTCCTGCCAAGGAGCTTCTTCAGGTTTTTTCCATCATCTAACTTTTTAGAGTTAGAGCTCTAGCAGTAAGAGCAAGGGAGTGTAAAATCCCAAATACCCTGCTCTTCCAGCATCTGTGCCCCTTCCCTGTGCTGTTGAGGGTCGTTTGCAAAGGCATCTTCCTCTGACTGAAAAAAAAAACAGCAACCAAACCTCATCTTGCTTGATGTTTTTCAGGTTCTCAGCTTGGTTGGCTTATGGCTCAGCTGGTGGTAAAGGTGCCTAGAGCACCACTCCTGCAAAGGCATCTTCCTCTGACTGAAAAAAAAAAACAACAACCAAACCTCATCTTGCTGATGTTTTTCAGGTTCTCAGCTTGGTTGGCTTATGGCTCAGCTGGTGGTAAAGGTGCCTAGAGCACCACTCCTGTTCTTGCTGGGGACACGTTTCCTCTCAGCTCCTTGTATTTACATGATGCCTTGATCCCTTACTTGGACCTTCTACTTGGAGAAGGCCACCAGCCTTTCTTGTGTTTCCAGTCTTCAGGCCAGTTGTGTCTCCCTTCTCTGGCTGGATGGGGAGATCTGGGAGGTGATCTTTCCCCTCTACTTAGCACTGGTGGAGGCATCACCTGGAGTGCCGTGCCCAGTTCTCGGCTCTTCAGTGCAAGAGAAACATGGACATCCTGGAGAGAAGGGCCACAAAGGGCTTGTGTTGGTGGAACTTGTGCTGAGTGCCATGGTTCCAGACTGAATGTCCCATTACTGCAGTGCTGAAGACTGAATCTGCTAATACTGTGTAACGTAAGCAGAGAACTTGGTTAGGGTTGTCATAGTATGTGCTAATGCAAAAGAGCGTGTAGCTTTTGATGGCAGAAGTGTGAAAAAGCTCGTGTGTAGCTTTGTGAGGGTGTGAATGAAGGCTGCGCCAAAGCTGCCAGCCCTGTTGTTTTTGGAAGGGAGCGGGGCTGCAGAAACGTGACCCTTTCTCCATAGTCTTGGCAAGATGGAGCATTGCTGCTGGCAATGAAGCTGAGCTCGAGTCAGGCTATCTGCAGATTCCCCTTTGCTGGTGTCCTACCATGCACGCTTCTGCATGTGCTCTCTACAGAGCATGGCAATGCAAGGAGAGCAGTGGGAATGCTGGAAAGACAACTGTTCCCAGCTACCTTGTGGGAGGGTGTGGGGAAGCTGGAGCCAGGCTCCTCTTGGAGGTATGTGAGGTTAGGATGAGAGACTGTAGGCAAATGGCCACGAGGGAAATTCTGAATAGCTGTTGGGAAAAGGCTTTGTTGTGAATGTGGTCAGACACTGGAGCAGAGCCCCAGGGAGGTTGTGAGATATACATTCTTGCAAATAATTCAAAGTTCAGCTGGACAAAGCCCTGAGCAGCTGGAGCTGGCCATGCTTGGAGCAGGACATTGGGCCAGAGACCTCTGGAAGTCCCTTCCAACCTAATACTCTTCAATGGTAGGTAGGAGATGCCCAGATAGTGTGGTTCACCCGTAGCATAAATCACAGCCTGGGACTATGCTTGACTCCCTTTTCCTAGGCTGGCATGATAAGGATACATTAACGAGGCGCCTTACTAGTTCTTCGTGGGAAGGATGCATCTTTCTGGAGACGTTCACAGGGACTGAAGATGTGTGTCTGTCTGATGCCAGGTGCTGGTTTTTGTAGTGTTTGTATTGTGACAGGCTGCTTCTTGCATTCCTCCAGGTACAGCTACATGATTGACAATGTCATTCTGCTGATCACTGGGACCCTGCACCAGCGTTCAATCTCTGAACTGGTGCCCAAGTGCCATCCTCTGGGAAGTTTCGAGCAGATGGAAGCCGTGAACATTGCTCAGACGCCTGCGGAACTCTACAATGCAATCCTGGTGGACACTCCCCTGGGTGAGCGGAGCCTTTCAAAATACCTCTCAGCTGTGTGTGGAGCAGATGTCCCTTTCTCCCCCAATCTAACTAGGTCCAACTAAGTCCAAGTTGTGCTCCAGGAAGACAAAGCGGTGGGTAATGCACAGATGTGGCTGTACTCCCTGTGGTGACTGGGCTTGAGTTCCCTGTGGTGACTGGGCTTGAGTTCCCTGTGGTGGCTGGGCTTGAGTTCAGGTTTATGCGTGTCCTGTGCCAGTTTTTCCTATGGAGGCCCTCTGTATGCTTCAACAAATGTCCAAACCAGCACACTGGTAGTGCAGATTGCTGGGGAATTTGGTTTGTGTGAGCCAGGCCTTGAGCTGTCATGGCAGCGCAGGTGTAGCTGGATCTGATCTGCTAGATATGTCCATTTACCAGCTGTTCTGGGAACCGTCACTTGAAATTAGGGAGGAAGGAAGAAGTTTGAGAGGTCTTAGACAATGCGATCTTTTTAATAATTGTGATGGGACACGTGGTACACGTGCTTCCTTAGTGAAGGGCTGTCGGGTCCTCTGCTGGAATGAGTCACTTAATTTTCAGCACTTTTAGTTGGACCATTGGGCAATTTCTTGTAGGCAATTTTTGTAGTTAATTATAGAGATCTGCACATGCCCAGTCTTGTTCTGAGACTGATAAAATTAGCTCTAGATCAAGGAAGGCTCTTTACATACCAGAAAACCCCAACCAACAGCAAAAAAAAAAAAAAAATTAAAAAAAGAAAAGGAAATCTCCAGAAGCCTTTTTAAGCTCATTGTGTAGCAGGATCCTGCACTGAGGTATACTCTCTCAGGGCTGCAAGCCTTGACCAGGAAGTGCATGATACTAAAACCAAGTGCGTTATGAACAGTCAAACAAATATGTTCTTTAAAGATAAAAAATGTAGGAAGTGGTTCTGGAGAAAATACGGAAGTCTTTTTGCAGTAGTAGGAGAGGTAGTCACAAGAGACTTTCTAGGTTAGGATCTGTGGGCAAAAAAGTAATGAGGTATGCCTGAGTCAGTGATTAATCATTCTTTTGGGGTTGCTAGAAAGAACAAAACACTTTAAATCATCATATTGTCTTTGATAGAAATAGTTGTTTTTGGACCTGAAAGTGCTTTTGCAAATGCTCTGTGTAATAATGAGGCAAATGAAGTAGTTGTCATGGAAAAATGATTTGCCAGATAGAACCCAGCAAAGGAGGGAAAACACATCTCGAGATCTGGGTTGCAAGGTAGGGCGACAACGCAGCAGGAGAACTGAGGCTCTGCATACAGCTGAGTTGAGCCCGCTGTAGGGATGATGTGTGGGAAGAAAATCCTCCTCACAAGTAAGCAGGAACCTTCCCATTTTGGCAATAAGATGGAACCAAGTATTTCAGAGGTATTAGTTCTTAGAGATCTTAAAACTTCTAGCTGTGTACGGAGTGAAAATGCCCCGTTACACTGGCGAAGCGGTTCTGGAGAATGCGGCTGGCAGTTGAGGGTCTTTGCCTCTTGCATTCATGCCCTTGTGCATGTGTGAGCTTTGCCTGCTTCTGCCCTCGCTAGGCTGAGATCTTCAGACCTTTGCCCTGGCCATGCCCTTGAAGCTGTGTACCATCTAGTATGGCATTTCTTCAGC